GGATAGGTTGTATTTGTTGTTGTAGCAAACTGTACCTGTGATGATGAGGAAAATGCTCAGAGACAGTTAAGAAAGTAGATTCTCTCACCTAAAAATGTCTTATGGTAAAGTTTTCCAAATCTGGTTTTCTAAAGCAGCAATAATCAGATGTTTCAGGGGTTTTAAATTTAGCATCACACTTAAAACTCAACTTGTTTGTGTTTTCCAAAAAACCTTATTAGATCTGCAGCTGGTGTTACTGACGACCAACAAAGCTATTTGTCTTGTAATCCAAACAGAAATGTTGGACTTCCTGCATATGATTTAGATAAGCCAGTGAAATACTGACAAATAAAATAGACTTTCAAGGGTTCAGTAACTAACACTGAATTCTGTTCAGCTGAGGCGTTTCAAAGTTGGGAGTTGAAAACTAAAAATCTAAAAAATTCCAGCTAAATCAGATTGTTAATTCTAGTTTCAGTTCTCATTGCCAAACCCTTTTAACATTGTTAAACAATAGGAGCCGAGTGGGGAACCATGAGGAACCCCTCATGCCTTAATGTTTACCTAGATTTTGAACAACCAGCTCCCTCAAACCATCAATCCATCGGCCAAATATCACAATTGTGGTAGGCTTTTTTAAATGGAACTAATAAATGCACCAGAAATCTCTTAGATTTCTGTTCCAATATCCTGCTTGGAAACATCGGCTAAGATGACATTGATCATACTAGTCAGTCTGCTTTGTATGTTGGGGCTGCTGCCGTTTTTGCTTTGGACTGAAATCTGTTTTCACCTCTTAAACATTCTCCAGGTTCAGTAATTCCTCACAGGCTTTGTCAGGGGGATGGATGGTGATTTCGATGGATGGTTTTACCAGCACCTTTTTCTGTGACCTTTCACTTTATTGTGAGGAATATTATAAAAAAAAAATTCAACCATATGAGAAACTTTCCATTACACCGGTGGTCTAAGCATGCTAACTCTCTGGAGTCTTACTGGACAGGACATCTGCTGTAGCCGCTATAGCTAGTAACCTGTTGTCAGGTCTAAGCACCTAAAACATCATACATGCATACAGGGAAAGAAAGAAGGCACAGAGACGATTAGTTTAGTTTTACTCGCGAGGAGAGTAGGAAGAGACTGCAGAGTTTACAAATCTCCAACCCACTCTGCGGTCCCAGCGTTCGCCTCGCTATTTATTGAAATCAGTGGTCCCTGGTTACAACAGCTGAGACTACACTGGGGGGAAACAAGATAAGGAACTCAGACTTGCAGTCTCAGTAAACATATCATCTAAAGCTCAGGGTTCAGTCAAAGTTGAAGCTGTTGAAGCTGTTCACCAAAGTTCAGCAGGTTGAGTGCTGCTCGTAAATCAACCATAACCTCCCAAAAAGCAAGTCCACAAATCACAGAATACTTCAGAAAAGATGGCTATGAACACATGCACATAGCACACAGCTTTATGCATTATAACACTACAGAGATACATTAATACAATTATTCTAACACCTGTGCACCTTGGTGGCATTGCTATGCGGTGAGTTGGTTAAATAAAT